GAGAGGTCCCTCTCCTGACATTACCTGGCACCCCTCAACTTCTCCTGGCAAGCCTGTTTCTTCCCCCGCCACCTCCCACCTCCTGCTTGTCCTGATGTTGCAGACCCTCCACAGCGCTAATTTACTCTGCTTCATGCAGGCAGGGAGAACAGGCTGTCTCGCTATGTTCGCTGTCTCCTGGCTGTAGTTTCCCTTCAGCTTTTCATGTCCCTACCTGCTGCTCCTTTTTTGCCACAGGGACTGCCATGGCATCCAGCAGGAACGCAGCCTGCCTCTCCACGCTGGGCTGGCTCTGAGCCGCAGCCCAGCTGATTAGCGTTCAGTGTCAGGACCCTAATTCCCTGGTTTGCCATTGTGGCAGTGCAGAGGGGATGGGAACCAGCTTGATCTCCCATCAGGACATACCCTCAGCTTCAAACTGGTGCAGCTGCCTTCACTAGCACCACCCCCCCGGGTATAAGGCCATGCAGGAGACATGCCCCACAGGGCAGATTTGGCCACAGCGCTCAGAGTAATCTCAGGACCAGGGCCTTGGGGCCTGGTACAGTCAGGATGCAGCTTACAAGAGTCCCTGAGGCTGGTGCATCTGCATCAGCTCCCATCACTGCTTCGTACTGAGATTTCATGGGGTTCAGCCAACAGCTAGCCATGATATGAGCCTCCAGCCTTATGGAAAATTGCTGTAGAAGTAAGGAGGGATGACACCAATAGGTTACTGTAGCTTTTCCTTCAAACCCTGCAAAAGTCAGTAGCAGGAAAGAGCCTTTCTGTAGGTGTCCTTTCGACCCAGCTTGTGGAATTATTTAGGAAAGATAAAAACTTTCTCCTCTACTTTCTATATAAGCAACCAAGGCAGTAGACCCTTCCTGTTGACCTCTATAGGAACTTTCCATAAGGGACCCCCTTTTCTTTCTGGGGCTACCTGTACACACGGCTCCTGCTTCCAAGAACGCAAGTGTTCACATCTACAGCTGGGGGCTTTTTCCATCTTCTGCATCCCGCGCTCCCCAGGGGTAGTTACATTTCCCAGACTTCCCTGTGCCCCTGCAGCAGTCCTCCAAAATGCCAGTGGGGCTGATGGGTTTCTCAAAGCAGAAAGGGGAAAAAGGATTGAGCTGTAGATAAAACACTTTACTGGGCTGGCATTCAGATGTCCACAGGTTTGGGCTAAGAGAGACCATGGCAATGGTGGTTCTCTCCTTGTTGTGGTGGAGATGCGTGGGGGGCATGGAGAATGCTGTTTCCAGGCCACCAAAGAAGTCGGAGTGGGTGGGGGAACGGCAGCATTTGTAGCCTGAAACCACATGAAGAGTTGTTCCCCAGGCTGTGTTTCAAGGTCTGTGTTTGCCACAAGGACAAAACGAATGATGTGGGGATGTTCTGGATTCGGCTGTTAGGCCAGGCCCCCCGTGCCCTGCATGCACCGCTAAGCACGTTTGCTGAATCAGAGCGTGCATTTAATTTGCTTTGTCTTGCTCTGTCCAGCAAACGAGCCATGGTGGGGAAGGCAGCTGTAATAGGCAGCACAAGTGCAAAACTGCTGGCTTTGATTCCCTGTTCCCCTTTGGATTGCATTGAACGTGTGTGGGGACAGCTCTGGTCCGCCAGCGGTCCTCTGAAACGTAGGCCATGCTATAAAGTGCATTAGCAAGGAGTGTTTAACCTTGACAGGGAGGGAGAGAGTCATGTTGCCGATTGCCAGTGTGATTCGCATGGATGAGAAGGCGAAGGAGGGGTATTCACTGCACCTCTCTTCTGGCCTCCCAGCCTTTCCAGGCAGCACATGCTGTACAGGGGACCCTGAATTTCTGAGGGTCATTCCCACAAATTGTGCAGTTCATGGGTTCATGTCATCCCGTACCCTTACAGACATGCCTAAGGAAGTCCCTGCCTCTTTCTCTGAGGAAGTAGCTGTTTGTCAGGTTTTGTAGTAAGTGGGAGGTGAGGGTGCTTGGCCCCTCAGTGCTTACAGAACACGCCTGCTGTAGGGAACCGGTTCAGGGATGTAATGGGCTGCCTGGCCCCTGTGCTGGCCAAGTCCTGGCTCTAGGAGTGTTTGGGGAGGTTTGGGATGACTGAGGAAGTGCCCTGGTCCTTAAAGGCTCTAGTAAACAGCACTGCTCCCTTCCCACTGACTCGAGGCGATGGGATGCCAAGCATCCCAGTGGACACCAGGGCCTAGGGACTGCAGAAATGTACGCATGGCTTGTATAGCCTGTGACGTGCACCTCTTCGGCTAGGCAGCAGGAGCTGGGGAGCTGCTACAGCGACAAGGAAACACTTGGCATCCTTGTCCCCCGGCCTGGCTCCCTTAGTCCCCAGGCAAGACTCTCGGCCTCCGTTGCATGACTGCATGAGAGCGGACCAGAGAAGGTAGTGAGCAGCAGTAGCTATTCCCTGGTACTTGGCCTGCCCTGCATTGCCACTTAGCAGCAGGATCTCCAGGCTGCTTTCCCTGCTGCCCACGGCATAGCTCTGTAAGATTTCAGCTTTCTGTTTCCTGGCATTTATTGACTGAGAGCCACAGAAGTTTGGAGGGGGAGGAAAACATGCAGGGAAAGAAAAGAAAAGGCCCCTCCCTGCTGTGTCCAGCAACAGGCTCAGATTGTCCCCCTCACTCTCTTTTCCAGTGGTTTTTGCTGGCCTAGTATAAATGTCCCAGCAGGCAGGTCCCTCATGCCCCTTGTGAAGCTGTTCCTGTCTAGTAGTTCCATTGTTCAGATTTGGGAATTTGCTTCCCTGCTTCCCCTGAACGTTCCTCCTTTGGATTTTGTCTTGTGGCTTTTAGTTACGCTGCTTTATACATAGTTCTGCTTCTTCACTGGTGGTTAAGAAATGCCCTCCTGGGTTCAGGATTTTGTACAAATGTGATCCTTGGCCTGGAGGGGATATCAAGTGGGTGGAACAAGGTGGCATTGCTTTTGCATGTGGTGAGGTGGAAATTTTCCTAGAATTCAGGGTCCAGTTCTGCCCTTTCCCTCTGAAAGAGATGCCAAGAAATTGGAAAGAAGCTACAAGAATAGCTCAAGAGAAGCCTACATTACAGGGAGAGACTAGAGAAGCTCAATCCATTTAGTTTGTCCAACAGGCAGTTAGAGGGGACTTGAACAGTCTGTAAATACCAACCCAGGGGACAGATTTCTAAATGCCAAAAGCTCTTGAGTCTAGCAGGGAAAGATGTAACAAACTTCAGTGGCTCGAACCTGAAGCCAGATACAGACTAGAGATGCCCCAGCTCTAGCAGAAGTATGAGCTTGGTGGAAAAATTACAAGGTAGGTTTCTGTGGCCTGTGTTATACTGGAGGTCAAGACCATCATGATCGTTGTTGACCTCCGAGGTTTCTGAATCTCGGATACGCTGTCGTGGGAAGTTCCCTGGTGATTGCAAACAATCTTTCAGTGTCTGTTCCCCGAGTAGCGAACGCTACAATTCTTATCCTCTCTGCAAATGTGAGGAAGGGAGTGGCGTGGGAGGTTAGAGACTTAGCAATGCACAAGGGATGCGGCTGCCCAACCCAAGTGAATTTTTGGTGGTAAGTTAATTCTCTATATGCTGGTCAGTGTTCAGCTTTTTCTCTATTAGCTTTTTTGGGGAAGTGTAGGCTTGAGCACCACCTGAGATTTTAACCTGAAAGGTTTTAACCATGTATTTCCTCTTGCTACAATGTTCCCTGCCCAATGCATCAACAGCATCCAGGAGGGATTGCGTTGAGAAGTTTGGCCCCAGGACCGTGGAGCGCATCACCAAGGACGACGATGCCATCTGCACCACGGAGTACTCACGGATTGTGCCTTTGGAGAATGGAGAGGTGAGTGATGCTCCCCCACCAGGCACTTGCAGCATTTCTGTGCTTGGGGGAGCTGGGCAGATGGACTCGGAGGAGCTGTGGGTATTCTCCTGGGAGCAGAAGGGCTTCCACTTGTGTAGGGACTTTTGGTGTTTGTACCCAGAATGGACAAAGGGCCCCCAGCAAGGCTTGGAAGACCCTTCTTTCCTTAGACAGAGGACGACCAATTGGGATTTGAAAGCCTGCTGTCTCCCTGGTACTGCATCAGAGACTATTGGTTCCCAAATGAGCAGTGCCAGGCATTTCTTCCTCACATGGGCAAAGACCATCCTTAACCCTCCCCATTCAAGGGACCTCTGGTCTCTTGCATAGGTCATCGGTCAGGCATCAGGCTTCCCAGGATAATAGCACAACTCCTCCACGGCTGGAGGAAGCGGCATTACTCATAGCCTGTTTCCTGCAGTGTGCATGTAACCATTGATAATCAGACATGGGATGTGGTGGCCAAGAAATCTGGTGTCCTTGCAGTCCAAATATTGATTGTGACTCAGGGGGAATTGTTCCAGCCATTGACGTGATCAGAGTCACAGTTTCCACCCCTGGAGCGTGCTGGAGTTGACCAGGGTCACAGCTAAGTGCAAAGAGTTCGGTAAACTATTTCATGATGTGCCACAGTGCTGTGCTTCTCCAGCTTCACATCTGCTCTGCTTTAGTTAATTTTTCCCCCATTCAACAGTGGCTGGAAACATAATAGGAGAATGTCCCAGGACTGGAAAGGACCTTGCAAGACACTGATCAAAGGGAGAGCTAAGAAGCAAAGGCAGAGTATGGAGGATGACTTAGGTAGTCATAGCCTGGGATAACAGACTGTATACCATCTGTAATGCCTATCTACAGTAGCTAACTTACCCACACATTGGATGGAAGGCAAAGGGGGGTCTCACTCTCTCCCTTTCCTTCCTCTGTTTTATATTCCTGCCAGTGACATTATCTGGCCACTTTCTACATCAATTCTATAGCAATGGTGAATTCACTTCTGAACCTCCTGGAGTCTCTAGCACTTCTTCTTTTCTGTGGTGAAAAATATGCTTGGGCCAGGTCTGTTTTCCTCTCTGTTTGGACAGAGGATTAGGGATCGAAAGGCATTTGGGTTGTGTCATTCTGACCGTGTTATCTTCCTGGAGACTTGTATCGACTTGACCACTCCCTGGCTTCTCTTTAAGTTTTTGTGGGCATGGATTGTTACTGGGGTCCAGCCATTTTTGGAGACTTGATTGGACCAGGGTTAGAAAGGGTTGGTGGTTGGTTGAGGGAAGGGTTAACTTCCCGGGTGCCTAAAGGGTCGCGCTGTGCTCTCTGTCTCTCCCAGATCGTTGTGTCTCTGGTCAATGGGCGCCCAGGGGCCATGAATTTCACCTACTCCCCTCTCCTGCGCAATTTCACCAAAGCCACCAACATCAGGCTGCGCTTCCTGAGGACCAACACTCTGCTCGGGCATCTGATGGGCAAAGCCCTACGGGACCCCACGGTGACCAGGAGGGTGAGTTGCTCCTGGCCTTCTCTAGACCTATGGGAAGAGTGGCTTTGGGAAGTGCTGGGAGTGGATGTGTCCAGGTAGCAGCCGCCGTGGAGAAAAGTCTGTTTGTGAGTTAGAAACTGACACATGCTTAGCTCTGTAATGCCTTGAGGCTGGGTGTTTTGACAAGGGCTGGATGAGAGTCAGCCCAGTGAGGCCACTGCCGTGTAAATCCTGCTATTTTGGGCTCATTGTCTGATTGGAGAGACATTGCAGGCAGTTACCTGGAAGTGTGGAAGCACGTGTGAGGAGATCGCCCTACCCTGGCATTCTCCTCTCGAGTTTCCTAGGCCGCACGTGCACTGTTGTCCTCTAGCATCTCTGTCTGCTGACGGTCGGGGGGGCTCAGCTCTGAGTGGGGCAGGCCAGTGGCTGCTGCCTGGAAGCTTGGCTCCAGGAAAACTCTTCTGCAAGTCCTATTGCCAGCACAGTGAAATTGGGAGCGTTTTGGCCAAGCCAGGACCCTGGCCTGTTGCTGACGAGCTTTGCCATCAATAGCAGGTGTTCCTGCAGGCGGGGGAAGTTGTGGCCAGCAGATTGAGAACACACAGCTTAGCTGGCCAGCCCAAGAAATGAGTCCCAACACGATGTTTAAATGGACAGTCTTGGTCTGGGGTGCATGGGGGCCTGTGTTCATTCGGTGTATAGCTGAACGACTGCGGAGCTGCTGCAGAATGATACTAAAAGTCCACCCTTGCCATCCCTCCCAGTATTACTACAGCATCAAGGACATCAGCATTGGAGGGCGCTGCGTCTGCCACGGTCACGCAGATGTCTGTGACGCCAGGGACCCCAATGACCCTTACCGGTAAGAGCTTCTGAACTTGGGGACTCCACTCATTGTTCATAGATACTCACGTGATTGTGCTAGGAAGGAGGGAGGGCTGCGTAAGGAAGGGGCTTGGGAACAAAGAGCCCTGTGGTCTGTCATATGTGCCTTGTGTCACCTTCCAGATTGCCTTATTAGCCGGACCTTGGTAGCCCTCCATCTGCATGACTGCAGATTGCTTTCCTTCTCTGTGTGGTAGGGTCATGGCTCCACAGTTTCAGAAAGACGAGTCTGCCATGGGAGAGAGATTGTCTCATGCCCTCGTGCCCCTTCCCAAGCCCAGCACTTGGTTTTCAGAGTGCTGCGCTGTGCAGACCCCTGAGGGGGCTTCTGCAGACTGGTTATGGGAGGGAAATCCCTTCTGCCTGAGAACAAATCTCAGATCAAGGCAGGAGACCGGGTGTCTCGGGGAACCTGCTCACTTATGCGTGTGGATTTCTGATCTACCGCTCAGACTTTCTACAGACTGTTTTACTCAGGTGGGTTTAGAGATGCTCAGAAAAGGTTTCCCATCGGCCCTGCTTTGACAACCTCAGCCTTCTGTTTTAAACATCTGACACAAGAAAGACGCAAGCATATGTTTAAATGGAAACACGTACTTCTTAAGTGCCATTGCTAGGACTGAAGCGTGTGCTAAAACACTTGCTTGTTCTCTTGGACAGAGCCTGAGGATGACACAAGAAAGCCCCTTTGTTCCAGCCCCAGTCCCCCTTGTCCAGTTTGTTTGACCTGCTGCTCTGATAAGAGACTATCTCCAAAGAGGCCACTCTTGTGTCAGATTTGTGGCCTCTGTGGGAAGTTAGCCTGGACACACAGCTTTGTCCTCTGTCCTCTGCTTTGCCTTTCCCACTGTTTACACAAACGCAACATTCATGGAGCATCCAGGACCAGCACTTTGACTTGCCCTGAGAAATGCCTCACTCTGCAAACGGTCTCCGATGAGTCCGTGGGAGGACTCATGTGAATAACTGCGCCAGTGGGAGTTAAAGGCTCGCAGGCTGGTCTGGCTTAGAAACCACTGGGTATGCACATTTCTTTATTAAACTGGTATCAAGGCATAAGTAAACAGACTGTATAAAAGAGTGAGAGAGGCAGAGCTGTTACATTTCTGGCTGGCAGGACCCTCTCCATCAGCCTTTCCAGCTAGAAACTCCACAGAGCTGCTGATAACCGTGAACATGTTGCTGCCTAGACATCTGTTTGCAGCCTAAGCATGGCTTTCATGTAAGTGGCTCGGGCAGATTCAGCTGGACCCAAAGGAGCTTGTATTTCTTTCTCATACAGATCATGTTAGGGTTTTTGGATCTTGGAGAGCGAAATTCCAGCAGGCCCCAGCCAAGGTTAAAATCTGCTCAGTGTTAAACAAAGGAGGTATTGAAAATCCCGCCTGTGTCACTGGGCTCAGGTTCCTCCTAGAGAACAGTGCAGTAAACACGTGAATTGGAAATTTTCTGGATTTGATATTGGAGCGAGGCACTGCTGGATGTGTTTGTTGTCTTGTCCCCGTGTTTCAGAACAGAGCAGGAGAAAAGTGCATGGCATGCGGAGACCTGGTATGTGAATATGTCATGCCCGCGCATCGGGATGCTCCACAAAAGGGAGATGGGATCCTGGCCAGACCCAGCTTTGCTAATTATTTTGTCCCACCTCCCAGAATTACCCTTTTTGTCTTCTCCCCTCCTCGTCCCAAGCTGCTGTGCAGAGTGGCAGTACACTGTTTAATGGTTTCATCCGGTCGGTGGCTCTTATCTGCTGGGGAAAGAGTTTACACTCTCGGGTTTCCTTCTTGGTGCTTTAAATAGTCACCAGATAACATCTTTAGGAAGTGGCTGAACCATACCAAAGAGGCTGGGTATGCCAAACAGCGGGATACCTGAATGCTGATAGCAAAGCAAATAGCAAAGGAGGACACTGGTGGGACCAGGTGGCTGGAGGTTTTTCGAGCAGTGTCTGTAGTAGGTTTTGCTTCCAGAGATGGGAGCCAGTGATGAAGAGATGGAAAATGAGTCTCTCTGTCTTGCCTCGCTTCAAGCCCTGTTCATAGGAGCTGACTGGAGCGGGCAGGGAGAAATGGAAGGAGGTTTGACTTTAAATAGAGAAAAGGGAAGTGCTCCCATTGCTCCAAGGCTTCGGCAGCAGCTGTTTCCAGCCCTCTTTTCCCACCCCGCGGCGGAGCGGGTACCAACAGATAAGCAGGCCCATCCCTGTCTGTTCTGCTGATGTAACGTCTCTTTGGCATGAATACACGGAGCTTGTGTATCGATACCTGGCTTAACGTTGCGTGAAGGGAGAGCTCTGAGGCCATCGGCAGAGCAGCTGTGGGCTTGTGAGCACTCGGGGTTATCGTATCATCTGCAGCAGCTGTCAGGGCTTTGGCATTCCCCCGTAAATCTGCATAACCCCTCTGACTGGCAAGTGCATGCATCTGACAGCATATGTCCTGCATTTTCAAATGCTGGGGCCTTTGACAGCAGCAAGACAAGAAAATGCAGATGGAGGGAAGCCTGGAGTTTGCTTTTGTTCCGGTCATATTCAAAAGCCTGATTGTATCTCGGCATTTACTGGGAGGCTGCCGCCCGTACCCGGTGTGTTGTCTTTTCAGCTGATTGCAATATCCAAAAGCCTTGTAAAAACCCTGTCTCGGAGGCATTTCAGCACAGACACCTCCGGTGCCTATCAGCCTTGGAAATCTCTAGCATGAAATGGGAGACCGCTGTGCTTTGTTTCCCTTTCCTGTGAGATTCCTGGTCCCATTACTTTCCGGTGAGGACGAGATCAAGGCGGGCTTGGATTGCAAGCTCTGTGGCACGTGGCTGCGTTTTGTTCTAGCATCACCTAGCTCAGCGAGGACTTGATGTGTGAGAGGAGCTTCTGGGCAATGCTGCGATGCGGACAATAAATAACATTTTTATTATTTATTGTCTGAAGTTCTGCCTCATGGGCAGACGGTGCCCAGCTTCAGATCCCAACCTGAAGCTCAGGCCGGCCTTCTTGGACTGGGCACAGAGGTTTGCCAGTGAGGGCTGCAATCCAGGGCAGCAAACCTCAGTAAATTGGCCGGGCAAGCAGATGATACAAGACAGTCATGCTATCAGGATATGGCATTTTGTTGCTAACTGCTGGGCAGAAATGGAGTTTCTGACTGAAACAGAAGCCGACCCTTTGCAATGCAGCTAGAGGGAGAATTGCGCTGCTCTGCCCGTCTCCAGGACCATCCCGAAATCTCCGTGAATTGGCGGGGGGCTGCCAGGAAGAGCAGTCTTGGAAAATGACTGTGGCGTGGGTGATTTGTTTGCTCCAAAAGAGTTACCGCAGAAAAATGGGTGGGTTTCGATGTAGTGGATGGATGTAGGTGCGGACCGAGGTGTTTGACGCGGGAACTTGTATCACGCCTGCCTGCAGAGTTGGCCTTACACAAAGCAGCGCTGCCGGGCTCTGATCCACCCGTCAGTAAAATCACTGGGAGTTTGTCGCTGGCGTCCAGTGGCGGCTGGATCAAGCCGTGGGCTTGGAGGGCTGACCAACATTTTCAACACCTTCCACGGCACCTCTCCCATTTGTGCCATTATGAGGCTGCGACTGCCACAGCATTCGCAGGTGTACAGTTTCTGGCTTGCTCCCTGCACACGAGTCGAGGGCTTTCTTTGTCGTGGCTGCTTTCCTCCCCCATTGAAGTGTATCCTGGCCCCCTTGCCCAAACATCCCGCTTACCTTGTCCCCACTGCACTCACCCCTACTTGTGTCACCTGCCACATACAAACCCCAAAGTGAAGTCAATGGGTTGATTAATGAGGTGAGTTCAACACCTTGGTAAAGGATCCTGTACATGATGGGCAGGGATCCTGGTTTTCTCAGATTAAAAAAGATCCCCAGTTTTTGGTGGATAAAGTAACCCCAAATCCACATTTTCCCATGATTAAAACAAAACACCACTAATATAGAGATACATATATAATAATGTTTCATTTTAATCATGGAAAATGTGGATTTGGGGTTACTTTTTTTTTCACCGAAAACCGGGGATTTTTTTTTTTTGACCCTGGTGATGGGTCACATCTCCAGAGCTGATTTCCTGGCTGTAAGTTGTGTTTCCAGCCTATGTGGGTCGTCTTTGAGATCCCAGATACACAGGCGGCCATCTCCTGTATAGGATTCACAATAATACAGGTGCCCGGCTAGGCGGCCTGTTTCTCCCAGCATGGATTTAGTGTTGATGGGGAAGAATTAGAGATTCAGTGCCCTTTGTTTCCAAGGGGTCCGATCTTGCAACATTCCTGGTTGGCTTCCACAGACCCAGGATGGCTCCTGCTGTGTTTTCAAGGGGACAGAAATTCTTGTGGTTAAAGGCGAGTTTTCCTTGTGTGTGTCAGAGCGCAACAGGATCAAAAATAAACGTTTCCAATGCAAGGCGATGTCAGAGAAGAGATAAGCATCGCTGGGGGGTCTGGCATGTCATCGAGCAGGCCAGATACGCTGACAAAGAGCTCCGGACAGGACCTCCGTGTTAACAAGTTGATACAAGGCAGGGTCAGAGGGAAGCTGCTCATTAAAATTGCAGGTAGCCTTGTGGAAATGAGTTCGGGGAGACTTTGAAGCATCATCTGAATCTGCCTGGGCAGAACAGCTGGTTCCTGCAGGCTGCCTGCAGCCCTGTCACAGATGTCCCAGGCAAGGGGATCCACCTGGGACTCGCTGGAAGGACGTCTTGTGTGCTGCTGCCGCGGCTGTCCCAGCAGATGGGCAGCAAAATGCATTTCAAGATCTCGGTGGCCTGGTCAGCTGGGAAATGGCTCTGCCCGAGAATATGCTGCAAGGAAGTTCTCTTCTGTCACCACCTTTTTGCTTGCGTTACTTTAACACCTTACTGATTTCACAGGGCTCTCGTAGCATTTTTTTAGACTGGTTTCGCACCACAGCCCCTCTGAGGCCGGCTTTCCCTTACCACCCCCAATGGGGCCAGTGCAGCTGGGATGACTGGATCCTTTCTGCTTGCATTTTGGCCCTCGCTAAACCTGGAGGTGCTGGCCTTTGGGCCTGCTGGCTGCCAGCCTGTTGCAGCTGCCTGCTGGACGCTCCCCCGTTCCTCCCCGTGGAAAGGCTGTGGTAACGTTTTATGGTGAAACTGCCAGGAAATGCGTGTGAGGTGGGAGCGCGGCTGCTGCTCCCCCTGCACCGCTGTATATGTTCAGTCACCGAGGTATGTAAATATTGTAACTTAAGCACATTTGGCCATAACTCATTAGCAAAACGCACCCGGCACGACGTGCGGCGAAGCTGCCGTGATGGATGAGCTCCTAAAAGGCCCCACCAGCCATCAACAGCCAGCACTAAATAAACACATACGTCTTGGTTGAAATGTGCACCGGTCCTCTTGTTTCACGTGAAATGGGGGAACTGAACCGACAACTTCTGGACACTGGTGACCTGCATCCAAGCACCTCACCCTGAAGCATCTCCTGCTGCAGCAGATTTGCATCCTCTCCGAGCAGCAGGTTAACCAGCCCTTCGACACAGGGATCATCTTTCCTCCTCCGGGTTTGTACAGCTCCTAGCAGGATGCAGCCCTGACCTCTGATTGAGGCTTCTAGGTGCTGCCGTAATACAGATGATAAATATCCCGTTGCTTTCCTTCTAAGTAAGTGAGAGGGCTCAGAGTATTAGCGGCGGTGTCATGATGGAAACGATCCCTGATGCTGGGAAGTTTATCTGAATTCCTTCCTGAGTCTGCAGAGTGTCATGGGAATAAACTTCCCAGCAAACTTAACCACTTCGTACATAGTGGATTTTGAAGCACTTCGCATCAGAGGTACAAATCCCCTGACCCCATTTTACAGGTGAGAAAACAGTCTCCTGCCATAGAAGCCAAATCTCCTGAGGGAAGCGGAGCAGCCTCCTTCGGGCCACGGCACCTTCCCCCAGCTCTGCCCAAAAGCCGCTGTCCGGGCTGCGTTTCAGGTTTGGCCATCATTTCCCATCAGCCCTTGCCGTATCGACATGGAGTTGCTTCTCTCCCTCCACCCTCTCCACGTGGAGATTCGTGATGTGCTTGTTTAGCGTTCAAGCCTCTTGGGGACGTGTTGGCAAGGCAACAGCACAGCCCTCCCAGAAGAATAGAGCCGTGTCTCTGCGCGCGCCCTTGGATCCCTGCTCCGCTCGTTCCTAACGGCAGGCATCACATTTATTTTTAAGCACCCGGTTGTGAATGAAAGAGCGTTGCGGGTGGCGAGGGCTGGGAGGGGCAGGCTGGCCTGTGGGGAAACGAATAATTGCGCAGATAAAAGCTGGAACATGCTGTATTATGCATCAGTCTGACACAACAGAAAGCATTTTTGTTGGACAGACCCGGCGTTCGCCTAAGGGGGGGTTTCTGCGGTGATGTCACTTCTGTTAATGCATTAGCCCGGCGGTCCAGTGGGATCAGGATCCCGCATACGCCTGGCAAGAGTGCTTGCCTGGCGCCTCCTGAATGGTTTGTCTAGCCAGCGTAGATCCCGTTAGGCTACTGAAGGAAAGCAGAAGGTGGGTTTCAAAGCATGGTAGTGGGCTTCTGGGGCGAGGGGTACCTCTGCCCTGGTTGCCATCTCAGCCATCATTTCTCAGCACACAGAGCAGTAAGGATGTCTCTCCTCACCAGCCGCTGCTTTCCTGCACAGGCCCCAAGAGATATCCTCCAGGTTTACTGCAGATAAGCTCAGCTCTTCCCATGCTACCCTGTAACCCAGGCTATGCCTACTCCCTGCTCCCAAATCTCCCCTCAGTCACCCGAGCAACAGCCTGAAATGGGAGCATTTGGGAAGGGGATGCAGTTTTTTGTTGAAAATGGTGAAATGTGCCACATTTGGTAAAGCATATGTTTGTTTTATTTTTTTCTTCCTGTTCTTCCTCTCCTCGGCCCTCCTCTGCCCCCCCCCCCCTCCACCCAGGGGGAAAGAGAAGGAGGTGAGGGGAGAGGGAAGAAGGAAGGAGAAGAGAGAAAAGCTACTTGCTTTTACTTTTCTCTTATCCCCAAATCAGCAAATTTAAAGTCAATGAGAATGTTTTCATATAAACCAATGAAATCACTGGCTTCCGGGGGGTCAGGGCAAGGCTGCGGTTTGCTGGAGAATGAATGAATGAGAAATGTCAATCTTTTGTGTTGCATCTGTCATAATTAAATGGCAAGTTCCTCCGAGCAAAGGCCTGCTTCTGGCAGAGAGCTTGTGCCACCTACGGCCTGACGTACCTATCCCACCGGCTTCCCACCCGCGTGCTTACCCAGAGAAGCAGCCTACAGTCCCCTCTCCCCTCCTTCCCTGAGCAGGTCTCCCACCTGCTTGTCCTGAAGACTTGTCTGAACCAGCGACCTGGGGCTGCTGTTGCCCCATCGAGGTTTGGCAGCGATGGGGTCCCTGGAGGTCACTGCCCTGGGTCTGAATCGGCTCTGCTCACTCACCTTTCACGTTGCAGGCTGCAGTGCGACTGCCAGCACAACACCTGTGGCGGGTCGTGCGATCGCTGCTGCCCAGGCTTCAACCAGGTTCCCTGGAAACCGGCCACCAGCGACAGCGCGAACGAATGCCAACGTAAGTTGTCAGGGGTTGGAGTTGGTTCCCAACCCCCGCCCTCCTGGGACTCTGTCCAGCTGTTCATGGCACAGGTGGTTGCAAAAACCCTTCCTTGACCCTGTATCCTTGAAACATCACCTCCATATGGGAAGCCCTGCCAGCATCTTCCCCAGAGACACCCTTTCCTAGAGCTTCCTGGGCCTTTCTGGGCACCAAGTGAACACGTAGCCCCATCGGTGCAGATGTGCCTGCCTTGTTTAGGCAAGTCGTCTGCTGTAGCCGCATGCCCTTCTTTACCGATTTATGGGACAGGCTATGGGACAGCCACTGATGGGTGCTCATAATAGACCCGGTCAGGATTCGACCTGGTGATGTGGACATGAAAGCCATGAAAAACTCCTTGAAATGCCCTCATTTCAGTTCTCCAGCCCATTCCCAAGGGTATCCTGCATTTGGATCCTAGACTGAGCGAACACACCTGCAAGTGCAGAAAGGGCAACCTGCGGCAGGGGTAACTCTGTTCTCATGTGGCTTTTAAAATTGTAGTCCATGAATCTCTCCGGGGAGCTAGTTCTGGCCTCTTTCCTGTCCCGTACCGTAAATTTTCTGCTGTGAGCCTGATTGCTCGGTTCTGCTCCAGAGATAAATTGAGTTGACTCATGTACAGGATTTCTTCATCTGTCTTGCCAGAACCCTTTAGTAGATGCCACAGCTGGAATTCATGCTGTGCAAGAAGAGAAGATCGCTGAACTTAATTACAAAGCATGAGCTCATCACTGCAGTGAGTGCAGAGGGACTGACAGATCTTTCCCTGTGGGTTTAAAAACAACCCTTCCCATATCCATGTGTTGAACTCTGTGGCTCAGCTCTGTCTCTAACTGGATAAGATCATAACCAGCCTGACTGTACCTTCCAAACCCTGTTTGGCTTTCTCTTCCCACCTGCCCTGGGACATCCTTGACTTTTCCATTTTGGGCCTCTGCATTTTTTGTTGAAGACAAGATAAGGTGTTCTGTTGAGACTCTTGCAGGCTGGAGAGATCTGAAAGCTTGAGCTGTTAACTGGTGTCCAGAGCCTTTTGAGCCTCACTCAGTGAAACCCCCCATACAATACTGAGTTTTTCAGTGCCACTCAATGCTTGCTTGCGACAGTGAATGGGGAAGGAGGAGTGTGAAACACAAGGGTTAAAATCTTTGGTGCACAATCATGCCTGGTAATGCATGGAAATGTTCCAGCTTAGCTGATGTCTCCTGATCTTTTCAGCTTGCAATTGCAATGGTCACGCCTATGATTGCTACTATGATCCAGAGGTTGATCACCACAAGGCTAGCAAAAGTCACGAGGACATGTATGAAGGGGGCGGTGTCTGCATTGATTGTCAGGTGAGTCAGGGAGGGGGTCAGCAGAGCGGTGCTGCGGTGGGGAGGATTTTCAGGGCTCCTCTGGTTTTGTGCCTGTTTTTGTCTTCAGCGGCTGTTTGAAGTTCTGCGTCACTGGCAGACTGTGCCCAGCTTCAGAAACCAACCTGAAGCTCAGGCCGGCCTTCTTGGACTGGGCACAGAGGTTTGCCAGTGAGGGAGAAGGTAATCATGCTGCAATCCAGGGCAGCATGAGTGGACTTCTGAGCAAACCTCATTCTTTCCCCTATTCACCTTGCGGACGTGGACCCATCTGGGTCATGATGCTACTGGCAAATTCTACTGGGGGATTTCATCTTTCCTCCTCGTAAGCAGAGTAACTGAGGCCCTTCTCACCACTTATTTTTCAGCATCACACGACAGGCATCAACTGTGAGAGGTGCATCTCAGGGTACTACAAATCCCCCGACCATCCCATTGACTCGCCGTACATCTGCTATCGTGAGTACAAGTGGCCCTGCAGGCTGGAGACACAAATGGGCACTTGGCTGTTTAATTGAGCAGGGGGGGGAGAGGCACCAGCACTGAAGTTTCCAGCCAGCTGTGAACTCTGCACAGCTGGATTTGCCCCTCCAGCTAGTGTTTCCTGCTGACTTGGCCGTGTACTTGCCTTGTGAGCCCAAGCAGCCGCTGCCATATGTAGACAGTATGTGTGGCTGTGGTGTAAGCATGCAGCTGCCTGTTTAACACCAGAGTGGGCAAAAATTTGGCCTCCAAGACTTCCCCAACTAGGCTGGGACATTCCCAGTGGGGGTGGTTCCCTCTGGAAATGCAGGTCATTCTGGCAGTGGAGGTGTCGTTGGCTCTGACAGCTGGCTTGGTGGCTTTCACCGGCTTCAGCGAGGACTGTCCCTACTCCAGTGCAGTCATCCTTTCCTCCCAAGGGGAAGCAAGGCCCTTTTGGAGGCACAGGTCCCTCATTATTGCAGCCTCCCATCATATCCTGCCTCCTGGCAGGTCCACAATCACGGTGGCAGGAGCTGTTCCGACATGGTGCCCTTTTGGAGGGACAGCCACATGGTATACGTTTCAGGAGCCCACGCAGCAGGTATCTGTGATGCCTCCCGTGCAGCAGGTGGTTAGACTGGTTACTAGGAGCTTTGTGTTTTATGTGGATGCAGACAGGGAAATGGGGTGCTCGGCTGATCACAAAAGGTCCCAGAGCGCATCTCTTCTGCTAGGTTGTAACTGTGACTCAGAGTTCACAGACGGCACTTGCGAGGACCTCACGGGGCGCTGTTACTGCAAGCCGAATTACACCGGGGAGCGGTGCGACGCCTGTGCCGAGGGATACATAGACTTCCCCCACTGCTATCGTAAGTACATCAGGAGCCCCAGGGGTCTTCAGCAGGGAGATGGGTGCTGACTCTCTGCAGCAAGCCCTATTTAGGCCAAGTGGACATGGGAATGCCTAAAATTAGAGCTCCCAGCTCCAGGCAGACTTGTGAGCAGTGCAGAGCTATGGTTCCTGCCTTGCCAACGTGAACCAGCACCTTGCTCCGGTCGTGAGGCTCAGGCGTAACAGGCAGCACAATCCTGAGGTGGGATCCAGCCCCACTGAGGTCATTTTTTCCTGCTGGGTAGCAATGCTCCTCACCTGGAGCAGGAAGGTATGGGTCTTCCCTGGGGCCAGAGGGAAGCCTCATTTTTCTTAAGGTTCAGTTTGGGGTCCAGCTACAAGTTTTAAGCCCATGTGTAGTGCCTACAGTGTCTCATTGTCTCCGCAGCCGTTCCAGCTTTCTCCCACAACGACACTGGGGAACAGGTGCTTCCAGCCGGACAGATTATAAGTAAGCCCCGTTGCTTTACTTGCACCTCTGAGATCGTTGTATATCATGGGTCTGGTCCAGGCCAGTCAAGACCAGGCCCCACTGCCCATGGTGAGAGGTAGTCCCCAGGTCCAAGAGGTTGTGCTCACAGCCCAAAGAGCCCCCCCCACTCCCTGCATCCCTGGTCCAGCACCAGCACACACAGCACCCACCTGGGCCAAACCAGGATGCTGGCCTGGCACAGCCCAGGGCCAGCCTCAGTAGGGGTTGCATGCAGAGCCAGTCTGGTGCCGTGTTTGGGTAAATGGGGCAGCATTAATGGGTGGATTATCAGGTTCCGTGGGCCAGATCTGGCCTTTGAGCCGTAGGCTTGACCCCCCTGCCTTGAGTGTCCTGTGGGAGGGCAGGCATAGATGAGCATAATGCTCTGATGTGAATGTCAGGGGCGCGGACGGGAGCGTTCGTCTTGAGAAATCCAGTGCTGCCTCTTGCTTTGAGCTTTATCCTCTCCCTTCCTCCCCTGCCTCCTGCCTAATTCTAATTCTCAAGGCATTTAATTCATCACCTCCTTCGTCTTCTGGGGTCTCTGTGCTCTTTCCCACACAGTTATCTCTGGTGTCGTGCTCCCCAGTGCATCCAGATAACCCTTTTTCTCTCCTCCGATATTTTAAACCCAGTATCTGCCAGGCAGGCTTTCCTTCCCTGGGGTGGAATCTCTCCCTTCTCCTCTGGTTCTCACTCTTGCCTCCTGAAACAAAACTTCTGCTTCCCCTTTCCCCATCTCTAATGCTCTGGCCCCTTTTTTTCTGCATGCTGGAGAAGCTCAGGGCACCCAGCTGGTTGGAGCTATGATCTCTGTCGGCCTGGGGCCCTTGGGCTTCGGGTAGTCCGAGAACTTGAAATGCTTGCTCAAGTTCTGGTGTCCTATAACAGGGGGAACTGCTGTGAGCCCAGACCTCAAAGACACTGAGGCAGCTGCCTGCCTTCTTTGCAGGCTTTGGCTGTCCCCGCAAAGCAGTGGGGCTGGGTAGCGACGAACAATGCAGAGTCCCGACATAATCAGAGCTCTTAAGGAGACCCTAAGAGAGGGGAGCTATGTGCCCTGACCCTGCCCAGCCAGTTGCTGCCCAAAGATTGAGTCTGGGATTTCCCAGCTCTCTGATCTGTGCTCCAGCTGCCAGCCCAGCCAGTGGCGTCTTTGCTGAGATGCCTTATGTTGTTGTTATCGCTGCTCTCCAGGCTGCGATTGCTACGCTGCTGGCACAGAAGGGAACGCCTGTCGCAAGGACTCGCGCACAGGCATGTGTGTGTGCAAGCCCAACTTCCAGGGAGCTCACTGCGACCAGTGCGCACCGGGACACTATGGACCCAGCTGCCAGCGTGAGTGACGGACCGGCCAGCCAGCGTCCCTGCGGGTTCCCCTGCTTCGAAGCCCCGTGCACCTCTCCCTTCTCCAGCGGGACTGGGAAAGGGACACGTTCCCATGACTTCTGCCGGTCTCTTCCAGAGCTGCCCTGACCCTGCTGGATTCCCTGGGCCTTTGTGGGGAATTTTGCTGGATTCCCGCTGGGCTTGAGCTGCCTGCATGTCCTGGCCTCCCCCCCTCGCTGCTCCTGCAGCAGCTGCTTTGCTAAGCCAGCAAGCAGGCCCCTTCGGCCGCGGTCCCATTGCAGTGCGTCAGGGCTCACAGCCCAGCCCAGGTCCCCTCTCCTGCCTCCTACACCTCCCAGGTCTATCCTAGGTGGCCTGCTGTCCTCAGACCTGCCTCCCCTGCCTGCTCCCTCCCTGCCAGATGTTACAGAGGGGGCAGGTGGCCCGAGGGGGTGCAGACTGCAGGGGAGAGCTGCTGATGGGACCTGCTGAGTCCACTCTGGGCCAGATGCTGGCAGCGGGAGGAGGCTGGGCCAGGATCCTCCTCTTTCCTTGCACTTAGGTGACCTCTTCATGCACTTCCATGATGTAGCTGGAAGCTTTGACCGCAGTGAGTCAGCATCTGGGGGCTCTCGGGGTGGAGCCTGCAGCTGCTGCAACCAGCCTTTCGATCAGGACTCCTTTCTCTCAGCCTCTGGGGACCCACAGGCATTTCGGTGACAGATGGCTGTGAATCACTGCCCCTGAGCTGCACAGCCCTTCTTCCCTGACCCCATCCCTACCCTCGCTCCCTTCCTCATGCTGCGTTTGTCTAGCAAAGTCTTGTCTTACTGCCCAAAAAAAGGGTGCGTTTTGTGTAGCCAGGGTGTGCCTGGCCATGAGGCGGCCTCTGGATTCCCCCTTTTCCCCAGGGATTTGCAGAGGAGGATGATACACTGGGGCCCATTGCTCTTTTCCAGCCTGCCAGTGCTCAGGTCCTGGCCAGTACGAAGGCACCTGCGACAGCGAGACTGGTCAGTGCTTGTGCCGCGTTGGATTCGAAGGGCAGTCGTGTAACCAGTGTGCACCCAGCTACTTCAGCTACCCTCTTTGCCAACGTGCGTATCTCCTGCTCCTTTGTGGATACAGCGTGGGCACGTGTCCACTTTCTGAATGCCTATTAGAGTTGCCCTCTGTTCTGGGAGAGGCTATAAAAACACAGAGCAAAAATTAAATGGATCACCACTCCATGCAGCTGAAAATAGAGGTGTTAGACAAGCGGGTGGGTATGGACAGATGGGCAGAGCTCTTCACAAAGCAGCTGCCTAGCTGGTGCTGAGCTGTGAGGAGACATCGGGACCGAAGAGCTTTCCGCAAGTGTGAAGGGCAGCAGGGTGGAGGCCTGAAAACGCATGTTTAAAAATGTAATCCATGGGCAATAGGGGCTGGCAGCACTGAGACAGGAGGCACTGTGCCAGAGAGGGGAGCTGCGTGGGTATGGGCCGTGGAGAATCAAGGACAGGTTGCATGAGGGGGGTGGAGATGGGAGTGATGCAGAGACCTAACATCCACATACTGAAGCAGGTGCCTGCTGGATCCCCGCTGCAGGCACTTCAGGCTCATGTCCGAGACCCTGGGAGTAGAAGTGGCTTTGCATTGAGTGCAGCTGGGCTCTTGGTGCCTGAGCCCTTGCCCCACTGAGGTTTTTTTCTGCATTGCAGTGTGCAGTTGCAGCGCTGTTGGGACCTTGCCGGGAGGCTGCGACTCAGTCGGGAGGTGTTTCTGTAAGCCCGAGTTTGATGGGCCCCACTGTGACCAGTGCAGCACGGGATACCATTCCTATCCCCATTGCCACGGTAAGGAGGAAAGCAAGGCTCCTAGCTGCTGTCAGTCAAAGGGCTGGGGGGAGAGATGCAGGCCTGTGGCTGAATGATTTGAGAGAAGGGCTCCTGGGAGGGACGAAGTGCGATGCTTGGCAGAACTAAGCCAGAGGTCCTTGCACCCCGAGAAACTGCCTGTTCACTCGTGTCATCAGACCTGGGTGGAAATGTGACTGCATGGACTTCCCCAGCCTCTGGCAAGCATGATGATCGGTACTAATTCTGTAGGCAGATGCTTTGGGTCCTCTTCTCCGTTTGTCTCTTGTCTGAGTACGTTTCAGAACATTTCCCCGCCCTGCGATTTTACACCTTGAGGTTGGTTCATGCTCGTGGAAGCAGCCCCCGCCACAAAACCTTGTAGCCCTTCCAAGTCTCTTGTGCTTGGTGGGACGAGGGTTGCACCTCACGGCATTTATAAAGCAAACTGGATTCTGTTCGGTCTCATTAAACAGACCCTTGACTGGGACAGTCCTGCCTTGAGTGGGGGGTTGGACTCAATAGGACCTCCTAGTAGGGCTGGAAGGGGCTTTAATCTATGGTTAGCATCAGTGGGCTGCGCTCTGCCATGAATGTCAGATGCTGTCACTCGCTGAACCGGACAGACCCCAGCTGGGATTTTCAGGATGCAGGCACCGGGTCAACATTTAGGAAAGGTGGAGGGTCATTTTGAGTGCTTCAGTTCTGGGGGATTTTGGGACCCCTGATTTTTCAGAGTGCCAAGCTGTTGCCCTCTAACCGGCTTAATTCAAAATCCCCTCATCTTGGTTACAAACTGAGCAGGCTTGTTCTGGGTGTCACGAACAACACCAAAGCCAAGAAGACAAAGCTTCCACTATCAGCCTGCCTCTCTCACCGTGACTCCCTCTCTGACACTGTTTTTCCAACCGCTGATTTGTTTGTTTAATGCGGTAACCTACTGAGCAGTTTCCTGTTGGTGTGTCTTGAATGGGCTGTGAAATCTCAGGGGCTTTTTCCTGATGTGACTGTGACCCCAGATAAAAAAAGAAGTTGCTGGCTTCTCCAGAGGATTTCAGCAATAAATATATGTCTGGGGCGAAATCACGAGCAAGTCGC